GTATCTGAGAGAAGATTAGAGAGAGAAGTTCAGAGAGAGAGACAGAAAAAGAAGGAGGAGGGGCAAGGGGACAGGAGGAGGAGGATCTGGAGAGATGGGAAAATACAGTTATTGGAAGGGTAGAAAGACTAGCAGTGGGGCACTTTCCACCATTCTTATTGGTCCATATTATTAAACAGGGTGAGAATAAAAGCAGGCTACATCTACCACCAAACCCTACAATAGTGTTTAGAAAATAACAGCAAAGGGTGTCCCAAAGTGTAAAATACTAGAAGACTTAAAGGTTTTATCCATGCATTGTGCACACACTATACACATAGCATATATCCATATGTCCTACATTTGACACCTGAAATTCCTAGCAGCAGAAATTCCCAGGGCTTAAAATTTTAACTGAAATTTTCAGAGTATCTTCTGTGTGCTACATGCTAGAGTTAAAAATGAGACAGCAGGGCCTCCGTGGAGGCGCAGCGGTGGAACGCTGGGCTGCGAAGCTCCGCAACCTCTGCAGCGCTGGTTAGATCCCTGGCTGCCGGCGAGGGTCCCACATGGCGCCCAGACCTCTCCTGCCGCGCCCACTGCTCCCCTCAGCAGTGTACTTCATCAGTCTGCCTGTTCTGCTCCCCGCTCTGGCTCTGGTGAATTCTCTCACCCTCCCACACTTCTGACTATACCCAGTGTTTGTATAAATAAATAAATAAATAAACAAATAAATAAATAAACAAATAAATAAATAAATCTTAAAAAAAAAAAGAGAGAGAGAGACAGCATCCATGTGAGGACTCAAATTTCTGATGGTAAATAGCCCAAAAGAACTAGTTTCTTTATAATTACTGTTTATAGGGCCTAGATGATGTTGAATAAATAGCTGTCTCAGAAAGGGACAAATTCAAGAAATGACAATTCAACAAATTCCTCCTGGAGATGGTTGAACTGTGATTTGAGAGTAGGGGCAGGATACGAGTTAGTCGGTATAAGGGAGGACTTTATAACGGGGGCATTCACTTACGGAGAGATGTCTTCCTTAGATAGCAGTTGTTTAGTTGAGCCTGAGTTATGGCAACTGGGTTACTGAGTGTCTGAAGCAATCAGGACATAGCCTCCTGGTGTCCTGAGGTACTTCTGCACATTCGCTTTCCTAGGTCTAGTCCTTAAAGGTTCCATGCCTGTTTTCTGAGCTGAGCATACCAGTTTGAGATTGTGCTTGGGATTCTACTTTAATAATGACTCATGTTTTCTTCTAGAAGGAGTATTATTTTGTACTGTTTGCCTGTAGGTGGGAGGAACAGAGTAAAGTCCTGAATAAAGACAGTAAATCATAGTGGGCTGGGATTCGGTATATATTTAACTTTGGGGCAGTGTGCAAGCTTGGGTGGCCACTTCTGGGACTTTCTCTCTGAATAAGGAAATGTACATGGTTGAGTGCAAAGCCATGTTTATGAAAATACCCCCATATACTGTATATGATTGAGGAGCTAATGACTGGACGGCAGACCTGACCTGGCTTAGGAGATAGTCCCTAAACTCATCTGTGTCTTTGTGAATCCTGAAGAGAAATGGGAGGATTATAGAGGGATTCTTGCTTGGCGTAGTGGAAAGAATGAAGTTCACTGGGGAAGGGAAAAGGGAAATTAACCCTATTAGAAAACCTACACTCTGCTTTGAAATACTTAGCCATTATTAGAAGACGAGCAGCTGGAGAGTCAGGAAAGGAAGAAATTAAGCTTCTACTATGTGGTAGTGAGTGTGCAAATGCTTTTCCACAAATACTGAGCATTTAATACAGAAGATATGAGTCCAAATACTAAGATTCACCACCATTAGCTTTGTGGTATTAGGTGAATTATTTGACATTATTTTCATTCCAGTCTCCACATTGGGCAAAATGAGGAAATGAATTCCATCTCGCAAGCCGGTTGTGAGTCTAACAAGATGATGCAAGTGAAAGCATTTTTGCAATGTGTAAGATACTCTGAGAACTTAAGGTCTCGTGGTTATTTTTCATCTCTTATATTCTGCTTCTACACCTTCTGGGGAACAATTTGCAGCAGGTGTTTGCTTATCTGGTTCTGGCTGGATGACTGTGGTTTTCTCATGGGCTGGCTCATACTCTTACAAGAAGTGATTCTATTCTTTCGCACTTGATATATGAAGTGAATTAAAAATCCCTGAGAACAGATTGTGTTCTATCCTGCCTCTCTCCAACAAGAAAAGGTGCATACAACAAAACAAAGAACTACACACCACAGGTTTAGCAAACAGCACAAAGGAAAAGAGTCAGGGGCAGGGGCTACAGCTTTCCATATTGGTCATTTAGAAGTTTTGCATAGAAGGATCATTAGTATTGGTGTCCAGTAATAGTCTTGAACTTGAGTCCTTAACATCCTTTTTATTTTCTAGATGTGTGACTTTTTGTTAGTCACTTAACCTCTCAGAATACCAAATTCTTCTTCTTCTTCTTCTTCTTCTTCTTCTTCTTCTTCTTCAAAACATAGCTAGTGACATCTTCCTGAAGCACTAGTGTGAAAACTGGAGAGAATGTATTAGAGATGTCATAGGTACTTAATCAATATTCCTTTGACACTCTTACACATGTGGGAGTCTAGACATGGTACTAACGCTTTGACTTCTTGAGTGGACAAGGTGACTTAGATGTCGATTTCCTGTTGCCTAAGACCTGCAAGACTTTATTTTACGGCTTTGTGATGTAGTGTGGTTATCATCCCAGAGGAAGGGAGGAAGGCCAGGGACCTTTTGAACAAATTTGCTTTCGGTCTAACTAGATATTTAGTTTTTGGTTTCTTTTATGGAAAGTAACTTATACATGGTGTGGGGGCTTGGGAATATTGGAAGTCTTACTGGTTTTACAGAAATTGCAGAGTTCTTTGTAGCATCTCCGATAAGTAAGACTAGTATTTCACCCAGCCCAAGGCAGGCAACATCTGGATGATTGCCCTGTTTCTATTAAAATGAGAGAGTCTACATTTTTTGTTTTCAGACCATTTGATTTTCTCTCCACCATCTCACGAGGTCTTTGAGACACATTGCAGCATAAATTGGAAGGTGGCAAGTAAGCTTTTTTTGGCTTCTTCTATCCTTATATTATCATCCCTCCACTGCCTCCAGTTCCACTACAGAGTAGTAGCACTGTGATGATGGAGTTCTTGTTTAGAAGCCCTGATCTGACTGAACCCAAGTCCTCTTGGACATGGATGCTATGAGCTTAGTATTTTTAAAATAGCTGGTTGATTGATATGATACAAGGATTGGCCTCGTACCAAGTCTTTGGGTGGCAGTGTTTTTATGAAATTTAGGAGCAGAGATGTGACCTTTTACTATATATTTGCTTACTTCTTTCAGCCTTCTGGGTCTTACCACTTGGAAGTAAATGAATCATCATTAGCGATGAGTGTACTTTTTTCTTTTAGGAGACATAGAAACTGTGGCTCAGAGACATTATGGTCGTGGGGCCAGAGAGTCTGTACCATGGGGAATGTGAGTGCCTGACTTAGAATGGGGCTGTGAGGGCTGAAGGAGTCAATATATTGAAAAGGTCAGAATGGTTCCTGTCATAGGGTGAGGACTGCATGACTTATCTCATCCACTCCCAAGGGAGTTCTGCCATGGCCCCAAGTATCTTCTTTCACAAGGATTATTAGTTGTACTTCAAAATACATCCAGAAGGAAGCCATTCTCAAAAGATAACATAGTATAGGGTTCCATTTGTGTATAGGGTTCATTTATATGAAATGTCCAGAATAGGCAAATCTATAGAAGCAGAAAGCAGATTAGTGATCACCTAGGGCTGGGAGGAGAGGGTAACTTGGAAGACGATAGCTAAAAGGTATGTAATTTCTTGGGTGGTGATGAAAATATTCAACAATTGATTGTGGCACTGGGTGTACAACCCTGCACATGTTCTAAAACACCACAGAATTATTCACTTTAAATGGGTGAATTGTATGGCATGTGAGTTATATATTTAATAAAATCATTTTAACATCCAGCCAGAATTCCACCCCTGTTCAGTCACCATCAATGTTTCCATGTCAGTACATGAGCCACTGGCCCCTATCTCCTGGACTGCTATCTAAAATAGTCTCCTAGCTGATTGTCACGATTGCCCCACTGCTGTCTGTTCTACTGTAAAGATCTTCTAAAATGTAAAGCAGAAGCTTTAAAATGTAAAATTTAAGCATTCACCTGCTTAAATTTCTTACCATGGCTTGCCAGGTACTCCCTGATCTGGTGCAGATGACTCTTCTTCAGCCACCCCACCTCCTTTGTCCTTTGTTCACTTTTCTATAACCACATTGGCCTTCAGATATGTCAATCTAACTCTTGTCTGCTTCAGCACCTTTCTACTCACTGTTGACTCAGCTCAGAAGTGACCCCTACCTCTTTCATGGCTCATTTAATGCATCACAGAGGCATTTCTTGTCCAACCCTCTTTAAAATAGTCCCTTTTCCATCAATCTATAGCCATTTTATTTTTTTCCATAGCATTTATCAGTATTGGAAGTTTATATTTTAATCGATATATTTACTTGCTTATTGGAAGTGTCCACTACTGGATAAGTTCTGTGAGGATAGGGATTCTGTCTTACTGACTGCTGCATTCCTCATACCTAGAACAGTGTTCTATAATTAGTGTTTGGGAATGAATAAAGAAGCCATCATACTGACTGTGGATACAAAGACTAACATATTCAATCTTTGTGTGTATTTCTTATTCTGTAGCCTCATTTGCCCTATCACACATATTTTAAGTCTTGGGTTAAATTCTTAGAGGGAAGTTCCTTGGAGACTCCTTTTCAATACCATCCAGTGTGTTCTGTTTAGAATATAACTTGATGCTTCCTTTGACTGATAAACACTATCACTATTTGCATGAAAGTACAAGGAAAACTGTAAAGGATTTCAGAGTTTGTGCTCTAAGGTCAGCAATGGCAATTTCAGTGGTACTATTAAAGCTGTTTTTCCCTCTCAAGTTTACTTACAGTGTGGACTTTCTCGGGCTCCTGTCTTCAGAAGAATCTTAGCAATCGGCACATTGTTGGTCATGATGGCGATATCCAGTGGTGTCAACCCCTCACTGTTAGGTGTGTTGAGATCTAGTTCTTCTGGGGTATATTGATACAGAAGGATCTGTACAGCATCCATGTCCTGCTGTTCAACTGCTTCAAATATGGCTTCATTGCCTTGGAAGTTCTGCAGAAAAACAAAAGCAGGTTGGCACAATCTCATAGACCATTGTCACTGTAACTTAGCTGTTTTGAATTCTAGGGACTTCTTCAGTAACTACATTCCCACTTCTAAGAGGTATAAATGCAATTTATCCCATGGCCTCCAAGGTAAACACTGTGGGGGGCATCCCTCCATCATTTCTAATGGGCTTTGAACAGATCTGTACATTTAAATGCATTGAGACAATACAGAATGGCATGATCAATCTATTCATTAGAGCAAACACCAACTTTTCACCACCCAATCTTCTGTGGAATACTGCTTGATAGTTCAATAAAAGGTATTCAGTGAAGAAAGTAGCATGGGGGTCAAATAAATTTGGTAAGCACTAGATTAAATCAAGTTACCATAGTATTTTACTGTAAGGGCTTTCGGGTTCTAATTATTTTAACATTCAATTATTGACCCTCTAAGAGGTAGGAAATAATTTGTTCACAGAATATACTTTTCATTGCATTTGTTTTAATTGCCCTTTGAATAATGTTCTATAAGAACACAGCTTGGGAAATGCTGACATAGGTGACGTAGTGCAGGTAGTTTTAATTATGACGAGCGTGGGACTGAGAGTGTACTTTCTCTGTTTTTCCTAAACTCATCCCTCCATCTCTAGCCCTGCATCTCTATTGCTCAGTTACATTTCTTGCCTGAACCAAAACTGTGAAGACTTGCTGCTAGACTGAGTCTTCTCCAGCTGATGCTCCACACAGATGCAAGAGTATTCTTTCTAAAATACACAATATTTCATGTCACTTCCCTATTTGCAATTCTCTAATAGTTCCAGATTGCCTAGAGGCTGCTTCCCAAACTCCTAGGTATTTTGCATCAACACCTACATTTCTCAAATCAGAACCTTGAACTACTCAACCCTCATATGTGGGGCTCAAAACATGCTGTCCAGGGAGGGTTTCGGTGTGTGGGTAATAAATTGACTTGGCGCCTGAAAGAGGCAAAAGCTGAATATTTGTGGTATACAAATCACTTGTAGAAATAAATAACAATAATATGGCTCCTTTGAAAAGTTCTTTCAGAGGATTAATAGTAAACAAAGGAGAAAAGCTCTGGAATTCTTTCAAATATTTCTGTAGCTCACGGGAAAAGACCACAACATGTGCTATGTATACATCTGTCTGGTCTCTAAGAGTTTTGTGGTTTAAAAAAAAAAAGTCAAAATACCATTGATCCTGACCTAGCATAGTGATCACCTGATTAAAGTGTGGAAGGTCTTGAGCATCTAAATATATAGGTTGGCAAGTTTATATTTTTAGTCTCATCAAAATTTGATTCTTCCTATCAAAGGCTTCAGGTCAGCTTAGCTGAGTACATAACACATGATTGAAGTTGGAGGAAAATATAAAACTATTATGCAAATGCCTGGCATTGGAGACCTTGGGGATAGAGCTATTTTGGTGTGCAGCTCTCTTTGCTACAGTACAATCTGCTGAATGGAAAAGGGTTTTGTCGACAATCTGCCAACTGAACAGACTCTGAATACTTAGGCTGTAACTCAGCCACCACCAAGCCTGCCTGGAAGATGAGTGTGAAATGAGAAAGCAAATTAGAAAACAAATGAGTACAAAACTAATATGCCTCCCTGTCCACAGTTGTGTATTTGTTTGTGATTCCTAGTATGTCTAATTTCTCGTGTCTGTATTTGCTCTCAGTGTTAAGTCATTTCCTCTTCCATGCTTTTGTTGGCAAACCCCAGCACAAGTCTATCATTTCAGTTTTAAGCTCAAACAAATGGTGCCATTACCCCCCTGCAGAAATACTCTTGTCGAGCATGTTAATATAATGCCCTCATCTTTCACAGAGGACCAATATAAGAAACTACCATATGAGAATGTTTGTATCATCACCAATACTACCCTTTGCTTTCCATTTCATAATTCACTTGACTTCTTAAAAAGACCAGAAGACTTAGTCACAGGAAATATTCAATTCTACCAGTAGACAGATTGAATTACTTTCATTTATCAGGTAGTGGGATGCTACAGCCTTTTGTGTTTCCCTTCCTGCTTTCACTGACTGGAAATTCTGAGATAAAGGTATAGTAGTGGTGAGTTTTAGGTACTGTCTTTGACTAGGATTTTATATCTTTAGGTTCCCAATATTTTCTTCTTCTAGTGCTTTCTTTTTTAATCTTTCTTTGCTTTTCTCCACCAACCCTTACCCCTTCCTCCTCTCTCATCTCTTTATTTATTTCCCATTATATAATGCTTATGCATTTTTTGCTTGGATTCTGTCTCGAATGCTTTTGGAAAGCATATGGGGTATACATTATAAATAAGTAAGTAGAATATTGTTCATTCAATACTTGAACACTGGGTCTCCCTGGTGGCCCAAGTGGCTAAGATGCAACCTGTGAAGTTGTCTGCAGCCACGGCAGCACGAGTTCAATTCCCGGCCAGCCAGGGAGCAACCCACATGGCGCAGCAAACCTCTCTCTCCTGTCTCTCCCGCTGCTTCCCTCAGCAGTGTATTTCAGTCAACCTGCCTGTTCAATTTCTCACTCTGTTTCTGGTGGATCCTCCCACCCCTGATGCTTCTGGCATGTACCCCAGTTCTTGTATGCATAAATAAATAAATCTTAAAAAACATACTTGAACACTGGAGCTCTCAGAAAGCCTATTTAATATCATACTCAATATTTGTCAAACTGCTTTTTTTTTTCTCCATTAGAGATAGAAAAATGAAGGGGAAAGAAATTAAGAAAAAGAAGGGAAAACTCATAGCCATTCAAACTCCAGCTAACCACAGTAGATATGTATAGTCCTGCCTTCCCTGACTTTCCTTGTCAATAAAATTGCAGCGATCAGATTCTGAGGTAAATGTGTATCATCTTAGAAACTTCTTCAACCCAAACACAATTGAGCAAATCAAGCTGAGACAAGGACAAAATGAGTTTTATTACCACCGAGGTCTTTCTGAGACTTAGCCGGTCAGTTCTTGTTCTGAAATAGGCTTCATCAAACGAAGAGTGGCTCCCCTTCAGTTTCTCGGAAAGGTTCCTATACAGGCGTTTGGCAGCATTGGGTGATGATGGAGTGCTATGTTTTTTTGACTGAGAAAGATGTAAATTCTGCATTTGTTGGGTCATTTTCACACGGAGGTTCCTAAAAGGAAGAAAATCTGATGTTGTAGCATTTACACAACATAATTGTACATCAACAAATAATTTTATCATTTTCAGTAACCATCTGGATTCCTAATAAAATATTATAGTTGGAAAGGACCCTAGAGATCATCAAATGCAGCTTCTTCATGTTATAGATGAGAAAGCTGAAACCCAGGGATGGAAAGCAGCTTGTTTATGGCCATATAGCTAATTGTTGGCAGGAATGAAATGGCAGTCTCCATTTACTGTGTACACATACACATTTACGTAAAGCATATTTATGACACGACCCTCTACTAAAGGTCTTTTGGTCTCTATCTCACTGGGAGGAAGTATCTCATTTTATTACTTACAGAGTCTGTTCGGTTCCTCTTGGGTGTATGTATTTGGGATCTTTCTACTTACCTCCTTCCAGATGCTGCCCCCTGTTGGGTGTGTGAGAGACTGTGATTGCTCCCTGCAGATCCCCCTTCTCCCGAAGTGTTAATTTGTGCCTGATGTCTGAGACCTATAGGCCTATCCCTGCTCACCCCGGATGCTCCAGATAACATCCTCCAGGTCACTCACAGCTAGAATTCTCCAAGTACTATTTAACTGCTATTCCACAAATTTCTAACCGTGTCCTCATCCATGTCACACCTGAAGTTAGTTTCCAGGAGATCAGACATGCCATTTCAAAAGTCATTCACCATTTTATTGGCTATCAATATTGAAATACTGCTGTTACCAAGGTGATGGCTGCCTCATATGCATATGTATATTGGATTAAAAAATGCATGGATAAAGTTATTGGTCAAGGCAGTTACATTCAGTGTTGCTAGTCGCTACTCCTGGTACAACTTCTGGTGCTTTGGACCCAAATGTTTCTGGAGCATGCTGTTGCTTTTCCACTAGCTTCCTTTAAGCCTCCAATGGAGTGTTCAGTTTGTGGCACTGCCACTGCTACTTAACTGTGACCATTAGATTATCTCCAGTCCTTGTTTATTTTGTAAGCTTATGAATTCTGTAATATAATACCATGCAGAACCTCTTTTATTAACAAAAATCTTTATAGGACTGACTTGAATTATTTCCCAGTTCCTGCAAGATAAAAATCTGAATTCTGTAGGCTCATATACAAATGTTTACAGCTCTAGTCTTATCTCCTCCTGTACTTCTGCATTTGGAGTTTGAGTCTTTCTGACTTCCATAGAGTTCCCTAGGTAATTCAAGCTCTCTCCTACCTTGGAGTCATTGAATACACTGTTTAGCATGTACTGAAATTCCATCTGTGCCTTCACAAGTAAGGAAATCATTAATGATCCTTAGAGTCTATGCTAAATGGCCTCAGACACCCCAGGAAAATGTATGCATTTCTTTACTCATGCACTTATTTTATGCCTGTTATAGTAGATATCTTATTGTATTACACCTGTTTGTCTTTCTATGCATGTCCCTTCTATCTGTATTCTTCTCAAGAACAAGGACTTCCAAGTATTAATTTTTATATCCTCAGCACCTAAAATGTATCTGCCTCCAGGTGAAAGAAATATGACAGACTAGGACAGCATTTGCTACTCTTCCACCTACTGCCTATACGATCTTGGACAAGTCACTTAACATGCCTGAATCTTTCTTTCTTATTTATAAAATGGGGATAATTATAACATCTATATATTATGGTTGTGAAGATTTGGTGAGATAATACATGTAAAGAGCTTGGAATACAGGAATACTCATGAAAGAAATGGTGTTTGTTATAGAAGATACTCAATAGATACCTTAGAATAAATGAATGTACATATGAAAGTCTATTACATGTAATGCACAAAGGATTACCCAGTAAGCTCATTTCCTTTTCATACCTCTAAATTAAGTTTCATGTCTACTAGCACCTATCAACCGTGACTTTCACTTTAACAATGGAGATCCATTTTTGTTCCATTGTTGAATATCTTTAGCCACTTTTAAGTCTTGTTCACAATTTTCTTCAAGACCAAAAGAGTTCCTAGTGCCATACAAGTTGGTCAGGCCTGGTCAGTATTAATCATATCTATCAGGCCCTACCCAGTCTTAGCCAACTGATCATTTTGGTATTTGAGAAGATAATGTAAAGCACTCTCTGTAAGATGTAGTATATGTGGGTGTGTTTTCATACTTAAAAAATATTTTAATTTACACAAAAGCATAAGTGGAAAGTGTAGATGAGTTGATACCTTTCCCCTTCTATCTACAAATCCTTTGTCTTTGATACAATGGCAACTACACTATAATATTATAATATTTCCTCTACTTCTTTCCATCCTCATAAAAACATTCCAGATTGATAGGCAAGCTAGCTCACATGGGGATAGCCTTAACCTCTTTCTTTCTGCCTTCTGTCTCTAGCCTTTTCCTTCAGCATTAATGTCCCAATTCAAGCCATCTGTCTTGTCTACATCATTATCATTCCCAAAATAACTCTACATTCTTTTGTATCTCCCACAGTGCCCAGGAGTCCAGTAAATAAATTCTTGTCGATTGATCAAATTCCAGTAACTTGCCCTCTAACTACTGACACCTTCCCACATGTCCCCTTTTGTCTTTGCTCATCTCCCATCTGTTCCCTTCAGTCAAAAATAGGTTGACTTGCTCTTCTTTTTGACTTCCTTCTCATACTGTCCCAGCTGTCCCTTTCTTCCAGCCATCCTTTTAGCATCCTTCTAGATTTCATCTATCATTAGACTTTCTTTTCCTACTTTGTAGTTAAAATTTTATCTAATGAGAGATACTTAGACAACTTTGTGTTATCTCGTCTCATAACGTGCATGTCCCTTCCAATTAACAGTGCTCTTAAATTTTACCCTTATGAAAAGTGACAGATATTTGAGAAGTCATGTAGCTTTGGTGCTGGAAGTTAGGAGACCCATGCTTAAATCATGACATTGTTATTTATAACCTATGTGATTTTGGACATTATTTCTTTTAAAGACTCTGAGTTTGTTTAATCACATATAAAAAAGAATAATAGGCCATTGCTTCCAGAGTTGTGAAGTTTAAGTAAATTAACAGAAGAATGATTTCTATCCTGTTTGGTACATAGTAATCACCTGATAATGAACAGCAATAATTAAGGTTACCTCAAATGTTCTTCCCAAATGAGAGATAACCAAGTATACTGTGATAATTTAAATAGTTTTCTTGTTTATTTTAAATATTGTCTTGAAATTCAATTTTATGTATTATATTATTTCATTCATATTTTGATAGAAATTATTAGTTTACATGTTTTAATATGTAAGCTTACAGTAACTTATAGTAAGCCAAGTAGGAAGTAGAACTTCATATTATTAGAGGGAAGAGAGGATGAGAGATATGTCTAAAGCCAATTAAAAATTAAAAGAAACAATAAAAATATAAAGAGAAAATGTAAAATGAAGTAGTATGGCTAACACTGAATTTATCTGTGAGTGCACAACATTCAACTGGTTTTCTTTTCTAATAAAAAGCAAAAATCTCAAACAGAGACTTTGGAAAAAGCCAAGTTGTTCCCCTAAAGAAACATTTCACAGAAAGATTAAAAATAAGAGAATGATATGTCAGTGGGAACAGCAAAGTAAAGATCTCTGAAAATCCCCTCTTTCATAAAAGCATTGAGAACATTAGTAAAAATTGTCAGCATCAATTTTTTCAGAACCCTGGAAATTAACCAAAGGTTTGTAGTAATCCAGGAAATGTTTATTCAAGAAAAGTGGCTGAATTTGGTAAGAACAGTGAGCTTTGTGGAATTTTTAACTTTTCTTATTTCTATCTTCCTTATGGTTATCTTGAAAACAAATAGTCTACATTCATAGTAAAAAACAGTGGCCTAGCAGTTACTGGATGGTGCTAAATGGTGATAGAACTCCTTCCAAACCATTTAAAGAGAATTGTCATTATCTGACTTGTCTAGTGTTTCCCTGGAAGACTCCACTCAACAAAGCTTTTCTTTATTTGACCTAACTAGAATCTCAGCAAGTATAAATCATCTTCTTCTTTGGAGTGTTTGCTAGGAAAAAAAAAAAATCAGCTATTGTTTACAATCATAGCTGCCCAAGAATATGCGTAAGAGTAGGGGTAAACAGCATACTAACCAAAAAATTTAAAAGGAACAGCCAAGGAATGAGAAGGCCATAGAGTACTTTGAAAAGCTTTGGCAGGATCTGGGGATCTAGCAGATCACATGCACATCTAGGGGTGGGGAAATTCTCAGAAATTACCCAAGAAGTTTCTAAAATCTCATTTTCTGTCTGACTTTAAGACGCTGTGCAAGCAAGAAGGTAAAGCTAAGACAGAACTGCCAACTGCCTGGTGAGTTTTGAAGCTGTGCCCCAATGTTCACATAGAGCTCCTTTGCAAAGACTGGGAGACTTATTGGTTCCAGGCATTTAAGAAAATTCCCATTCAATCATTAGTTGACCACAAAGTTAACCAAGCAGATACTTTAGTAGCCACATATAACAAAAAATATAGACTTAACAGATTAAGCTCTGAAAAATCACTAAATAATGAACACCGAGGAAAGACAAAAATCCAACTTCCAGGATTGCCACATTATGTTTTTTAAGATAACTAGTCTTCAACAAAAACAACAAAAATATGAGATGTGCATAGAAACAAGCACAGGAAATAGAGCAGTCAATAAACATTGCCCCCAAAGAAGTACAAATACTGGACTAATTAGACAAAGACTTTAAATAGGATATTTTAAATTTGTCCAAAGGACTAAAGGAATAAAGGAGATTATGAGAACAATACTTTACAAAGCAGAGAATATCAACAAAAGAGTAGAAATTATAAAGTGAACCCAAAACCATACAGAAATTCTGGAGTTGGAAACTACGATTATTGAAATGAAAAATTCACCAGAGAAGCACAACATCAGATTTAAAGGTCAGAAGAAAGAATCAACAAACTTGAAGATAGGCTAATTGATATTATTCAGTCAGAGGAGCAAACAGAGAAAATATGAGGGAAATGATCAAAGTATCAAGGGTCTGG